GGTGAATACTACTGGAAAATCGTTTTAAGTTTGTTTTAAGATTATTGTGATATTCATAATTTAATTTTTAATTTCTCAGTATTCCCGTTCGATGCGGTAAAACTAATAATAATTTTGTAATCTTTGGATTATAAGGAATAAATCAACATACATTTCATTAAGTTTGCCTAAAATTTTTAGTGGGCCCATTCTCCATACAAAAAGAAATTGTCGTCTTTCGTAAGCAGTTAAACGAACATTTCCAAGCCACATTCCAACCGCCATAACTCAAAAACTATTGAACTTACACACTTTTAATTTTGCATAACTAATAAGCACCCTCTGAATATTTTAAATTCTAAATTTTACGAAAAACTCTTCTCTAAAAAGTTCTTGAGTTATAGAGGTCCGAAAAGTGCAATATTAGGGTGCTTAGAAAATAAGCATGAAGAAGCAAAAATTTTGAAATGTTAAAGCCGAATTCAAACAACTAAATATAATTATTTAATTTCTCATTTTGAAGGCGGGGCTTTAATTTTTCTAAACACTTGTCTAAGCCTTTTTTATTTCTCTTTTCATCCCTTTGAGTGGACTAATAAATACTTAATGCCTTTTTAATAGTTACATTATTAACTTCTAATTTGTAATACTTTTACCTATTTGCTCTAAATTTATATGGGACCACTCATGGAGTACAATAAAATTTAATAATTAAAATCGATTCAGAATTGACGAAAATATTGCGTAACATACTTACGAGAAAACATAGAGTTGAATTATAAACCACTTTTTTTTTTAAGTCGGCAAAAAAAATTACAAATTCTCGATATTCGTTGTTGGAACCTGAAACTAACTGTTACCAGATATTTTGTAAATTAGCAGTAGTAAGAACTTAGTAAATACTCAAGTATGCTTAGCTTCATACTCAAGTATGAAGCTAAGCACCCGTTCAGCAGGACTAGCACGGGCAGGAAACAATTTTATCCCCGGGAAAGGAGAAAATATTTATCTCCTCGCTTAGTTTTATCCACTCTTTGAGCATGTGCACAACGGCGGATACAATATCCACAATAGATAAAATGGGAGATAGACTTAGTTTTTTTATATGAATATAAACTTAAACCGACGTCCAATGAACTAGGATAAAATTGTCCCTTTCAAATATCAAAAAAGCATATTGAATGCCTTAAGCGAAAGCGCAAGGTATGTTCTACTATCGCTTAAAAATTAAGATTCCAACGTTTTATAGAATAAAATTGTATCTAGCAATCATATTATACATATGATATAAAAAGCACTTTTTATATCATTTGTTAGAAAGATAAATGATTGTTGAACTGATTAATATTTTTTTTAAATCGATTAATTGCTATTTTAAAAAAAAAAGGGGTTTTAGTGGCTTATGGTATGGATTTATCATGTCCCCAAGGCTTGTAAACACGATAACTTTTGAAAATATCAATTGTTTAACTCAATCTATCTTTTATCTCTTCATCTATCATGAGGGAAGCCACTGAATGTAAATGGCAGTGTAATTTTGTTTTGTTTAGCTATAATTAATTTTTTTCGGCTCCAAAATGGCGAAATTTTCATTTATTTGGTAGCCTTGTATGTAAATTATTTCTGTAAATAGGGAGCTACAGCCACAGAGTAGTTTGTTTACTCACTCACTCAGTTCAGCGTCAGTCGCCGTCGTGACTGGACAATGTTTCGGTTGTTTGCAGCGGCTCAAAAAGATCGCTATACAAATACACAATATTCGAATAACCAAATTTCTTAAATACTTGATTATAATAATAACAGATTTTTTATTACAATATTTTTAAAGCACAGAATAAATAATAGTAGTACGTACTAAAAGTAAGTAGTATCAATTTTTTTGTCATGGGTAACATTTTCATGGTTTTGGAGGGTGTTGAAACCGATAGGGTTGTCGAAATGTAAATCCAAGATGGCGGCTGCAATAGGTATCAATTTTTCATCATGGGTGTCATTCTCATGGTTTTGGCGGGTGTTGAAGCCGATAGTGCTGTTGAAATGTAAATCCAAGGTGGCGGCTGCAATAGGTATCAATTTTTTTATCGTGGGTGTCATTTTCATGGGTTTCGAGGGTGTTGAAGCCGATAGTGCTGTCAAAATGTAAATCCTAGATGGCGGCAGAAGTAGGTACCAATTTTTTCATCATGGGTGTCATTTTCATGGTTTTCGAGGGTGTTGAAGTCGATAGTGCTGTCGAAATGTAAATGCAAGATGGCGGCTGCAATAGATATCAATTTTTTCATCTTGGGTGTCATTTTCATGGTTTTCAAGGGTGCTGAAGCTGATAGTGCTGTCAAAATGTAAATCCAAGATGGCGGCTGCAATAGGTATCAATTTTTCATCATGGGTGTCATTCTCATGGTTTTTGCGGGTGTTGAAGCCGATAGTGCTGTTGAAATGTAAATCCAAGGTGGCGGCTGCAATAGGTATCAATTTTTTTATCGTGGGTGTCATTTTTATGGGTTTCGAGGGTGTTGAAGCCGATAGTGCTGTCAAAATGTAAATCCAAGATGGCGGCAGAAGTAGGTACCAATTTTTTCATCACGTGTGTCATTTTCATGGTTTTCGAAGGTGTTGAAGCCGATAGTGCTGTCGAAATGTAAATCCAAGATGGCGGCTGCAATAGGTATAATTTTTTTTCAAGGGTGTAATTTTCATGGTTTTCGAGGGTGTTGAAGCCGATAGTGATGTCGAAATGTAAATCCAAGATGGCGGCTACAATAGAGATCAATTTTTTATCTTGGGTGTCATTTTCATGGGTTTCGAGGATGCTGAAGCCGATAGTGCTGTCGAAATGTAAATCCAAGGTGGCGGCTGCAATAGGTATAAATTTTTTCATCATGGGTGTCATTTTCATGGTTTTCAAGGGTGCTAAAGCTGATAGTGCTGTCAAAATGTAAATCCAAGATGGCGGCTGCAATAGGTATCAATTTTTCATCATGGGTGTCATTCTCATGGTTTTTGCGGGTGTTGAAGCCGATAGTGCTGTCGAAATGTAAATCCAAGATGGCGGCTGAAGTAGGTACCAATTTTTTTCATCACGGGTGTCATGTTCATGGTTTTCGAGGGTGTTGAAGCCGATAGTGCTGTCGAAATGTTTTTAAACTACTTTAAAAAATTCCCTATAATCATGTTATACGTAATTTTTTTAATGCGCTTAAGGCATGCCCAATTGGATTTACTAATTTTTTTATCTTTAATTTGGCTCCATGCTACGGACAGGGGATATATGTTTACTCGTTATGTCAATCGGGGATATATGTACTTCTCCCTGTTGCCGTGCTTTGGGATAAGGACAAGATAATTTTATCTATTGTCGGTGGATATATTCGGGGGTTAAATTTTTTGTCCCCAGCCCATGCTAGCCGTGCTAGTCTCAACCCTTTTATCGCTGAAGCTAACAACTCCGAACGTCGTCTATACGTAACTTGGCCCGCTTTTGACATTTGTGGTGGTGAGATGAAAATATCAAACAATATTTTCACAGGTCAAGGCTTTCTCGTGAAGAGTCCCTTTGGGTAATAACCTATTGTAGATTTTTACAGTTACAATCTATAGTCAATGTCAACGGTTAGTGTAACAAAATGTAGTTTTTAATTTTAGATGATGGTAAAGCCAGTATAATTTTAACTTGCTGGCGTATTCCGGAATAGGCGATGACACTTTTAGACCACATCATATTCGATATTTCTATGTGACATCTAATAAGCGATTCCAGCTATGATGAAGTGATGGGGGACGTAGTGAGGGACTGTCACGACATTAGCATCTTAATCGGCTAGACCGGGACCGGTTACAAGCCGCGTTGCCATTAAGTTCCGAAGGTCTGTCCAATTCAAAAGAGAATACAAATTAATTTATTTACAAATCTGTGACACTTTTATGGCCTGGGCAGTTCACCCTAAGCAAAGGGGTACTGTGTGTTTTTTTTATAAAATAGGGTGACAAACGGCCACACACCTGATGATAAGTGGATGTTGTGGCCCATAGAGATCTACATTGATCCTCAATTAAGAATCAAAATACAGAGATACGTTATCACCCCTGAGGACTAAGATGGAATGCTTCTCTTCCAGTAAAAAGGGTCTTCGGTTCTCTACACTCACAATACGGAACACAGCAGCATGAAGGTGCTTTTTACGTCGTTATTCTGTGAGAGCGTGATCTTACCCCGATTGAGGCGATCCGTTCGTGCTACAAACATGATATAGCTGCAGCGTGGCTCTACTACGTATAAAACTAAAGTGACAAATGAACTTGCTTGATCGAGTTCACCTGATGGTAAGTGGCTACTGCAGTCCATGAACATCTGCAACCAACTCCAAACAAATAATCCTACAGATGCGTTGTCTGTCACATATGAAGACTAAGATGGAATGCCTCACAGCCCGAAGTTATACTGACTCTTCTATACCCTTCAGATCAGAACACAGTAGGGTAAGAACTTGGTATATGGTGGCAGAAATAGGTATTAGGCAGAAATAGTGTCCTACCATCTAGTTAAGTTTTAGTCGGCAGGAATTCGATATAAGCCGCCTGTTTTTTTTTTTATATAGAAGAGGGGACGAACGAGAATGCGGCTCACCTGATGGTAAGTAACTACCGCCGCCCATGGACAACCGTAACACCAGGGTTGCGTTGCTGGCCTTTTAGAAAGGTTTAAGCTCTTTTCTTGAAGGTCCCTAAGTGGTATCGGTTCGGAAAAATCGCCATTGGTAAACAGTTTCACTAAAAAGTTGTACCGCACAGTCGTGGACTGCCAAGCATCCAGATGGTGAGAATTGTATCGTGAATTACTGCTTGTATCGTGCTTCACTGAAAGTATTCATGGGAATTTTCCGAGGTAAAAAGAAGCCATTTTAATTACACGTTGTGGAGCGTTCCATATTAATCTTCAGCAATGATGCATTTTTTCGACTCGTTTGTCTATCTAATATTTAAAAAATAATACGATTAATTATTTTGAATTGTATTAAACTCACTTCCAAATGCGATCTCAAAATTTCTATTCAAATCAACACCTCTACTATTCTTTCGCCATAATCTGTCCTGTAATAAAAACAACAACACATGTGACAGTTTGCTTTAAAAAAAAAGTCAATCATTACAAACCATTGCTGAACATAGGCCTCTGCCAAGGAATGCTTTAAAGCACGGTCCTGAGCCACCTGCATCCATCGACTTCCTGCATGTCTTACCAGGTGGTCACTCCATCTAGTGCCCTGAATTTCGCCTGCCGGTACGAGGCTGCCACTCAAAAACCTTTCTTTTCCATCTGTTATCTGTTATTGGAGTTATATGATTTTATTTTTGCCAGTTCAGCTTACTAATCGATTGGGCTGTGACGGTTATCCTATCTATCTACTGCGGATATCCTTGTTTTTAAGTCTATCACGCAGACAAACCCTAATCATAGCCCTCTCCATAGCTTGAGCAACCTTGAGCTTCCTCATACGGCCAGCAGTAAAGATATATATATATATATATATATATATATATATATATATATATATCCCGTAGTAATCAATTTACAGCCTACATATGTCCCATTGATGGGTACAAACTTACTCCGATTTCAGGAGTTATGGAATAGTTAGTCTGCAAAGTGCTCCAGTAAATTCACAGGTCTTTGTTATATTTTTATTCATCACGATGTTTCTTTTACCGCAGAGCGCATGGTAAATCGACGTTGTAGTGGCAGTTTAAGAATATCCACTACCTCATGTCGTCTCGTGGTTGTCATAAGACATATAAACTTTTGATAGGCTAAAACGATAACGCGGTAAATCAGCATATAAAAATGCAATAATTAATTTAATTTGTGCCAGCGGAGTATGAAAACGGCTTGCTCGGCAACTGTCAAATTTACAGTTAGTGCTTGTGTGACCCTGAGATACCTCAATTCTAAGATATAAAGATGCTCTGCTTTATCGTGTGCTACTGTAGCTAGTGGAAGGAAAAGGGGAGATCTCCCGCCGGGCAAGGTGTTCTGCCCCGGGAGCGACCATCGCTCCGAGTGGTAATTCGAAGCTATTCAATATATACTGCTTTAACTTCGGAACTTTGTTAGCGCGATTTAGGCTTCGATGTGTTTCGCTTGTGGCGCAACGACAGCGTCGCCACACTACTATACTTGTCTAGATTTTATTAGAATTTAAATTAATTGCATTTCGTCGTTTGGTGGCTGCATAAGAATATCCACCGCACTTTTCGACCTTTGGCTGTTGTAAGAGGCGTTTATAGCAAATTCTAGAACAACATATTAAGGTTTCCGATAGATGATATAGCCAACTCGTTCAAGTCAAACGTAAAAAAATCAGACTGGCAACGAGAAACAGCGATATAGGTGCAAAATATCTGGTACTGCGGTCGTCATTTCACTTGTCAAACATAGCGAAAGGAAAATTCTTTCTACCAAGAGTTTTTGAGACGAAAAATAAGATTAAGTATACATGCCTATATCCAGTAGTTTAAAGGCTGCTTTAAAAGGGTTTGTAATATTACTATTATTATTTAACAGTCTTAAACAAAAAAAGTAATATATTAAGACGTTACCGTCACAGCCTATCGAAATCCTGATCAGGCTGATAATGAGTTTTCCCAATAAATTATCTCATAAGGTGATATTTGCCATAGCTGCCATGCTTGGCAAGCGGGTAAGTGACCGCAAAACCTTTATTTTATAGTTGTTTTTAAGAAAACGCTGTTGCCCATCTCCTGGTTTGTTCCCTCTATCGCCTGTTACGACATCCTGAACGATATGGGGTAGTGAAATGGAGTAATGGTAATATATCGGGGGAGGGGAGTTATTTTAATATGCCAGGGATACATTGCCACTACGTAGTGTATTACAATTACACATTAATCATCATATCGGTTCAGTGTACGTAATAAAGGGAGTAAAAAACTGATGGGTGCGGGAAGATCTGAAATTGCATAGTACCAATGCTACTTGTGAATCCTATGTTCACCAGTAGACTTGTGATTGCATGTAACGATAATGTTGATGATGACGATGAAATATCTTACATAGCCTAAAATGTCGAAAAAACAAACCGATGTGTGAGTAATTTCGTAGCCGTCAGGATTCAAAAGCGGTACAAAATACCACTCATAAGCCTGAGCTATTTCTTTCAAAATACTGTTATTTGATGTAGGAGACTGTACGATTTGCTGCATCATGTAGGTTACAAAGGCTGGAGATATCCACTCTCTGGCGTGTATTCCACCTTCTATTATAACTCTGGATCTGTAAAAACTAATATGAAAAATTCCTACAATTACAAAAGTAAATATAATTTTATGCCGGTGGCTGCCGTGTGGTAGTAGCGTTAAAGAATTTTCACTATATATCAGCCCGTTGTTAGGAAGTGTCGTGTAGGTAAGGAAATGTCTAAAAGATTTCTTGGTCTTGGAATGTAGGATAGAGGGCGGGCTAACAATCTTGTGTATAACAGAGGAAAAAGACAGAAATGTTGGAGATTTTATGAAATACACGAAAAGTTTATAGAATAAGGTCTTTGATTATAGTAAAAGCTACTTATCCGCGAGGTATATGTTTTAAAATTATGCCACAAATACGAAAACCATGAATATGGAATAGTAATTTGTATGGAAATGTAGGGGCTGGGTTAAAAAGTAAAATAAAATTAGTTTAATCAAAAATAAGATACATAATTAAAACTTAAATTAAGAATGCTATTACTATTATTTTAATAATTATTATTTTTTATTGTTTCTTGTCAAGCGGAATTAAAAGGCCTTTTAATTCCGCTTGATTTCCAGCTGCGGCATCAACAATTTTCCTTTTAAAAACAATGCTTCTCTCCATAAACGCCTCAATTTTAATGAAGTGATCACACAGTTCATTTGCCATTCGTAAACCTTCGGTCAGGTTTTTAAGGTTAATGTTATCTTGTCATTGCCAGTTGAAGATTCTTCAGGGGTTTTAACATTTCTTCCAAGTCTGCTGCACCTAAATATTCATCGTGTGATTGAAGTTTAATTGTGAATTTTTAACAGTGGTAGAGCCACGCAGCAGCTTTTGCGGACGCACGGATGGGCCGGCTCGAACCGGAGTGGTACCACGACCTCACAGAAAACCAGTGTGAAGTAGAGGTTTACCTCTGCGTTTCACTTAGTGAGTGCAGGTGGCCGGAGGCCCTTTTTACTGGAAATGAGGCATTCCATCTTAGTCCTCACGGGTGACAACGCATCTACATTTTGATTTGTAATAGAGGATAAATGTAGATGTCTATGGGCCACAGCAACCACTTACCATCAGGTGGACTGTGTGCTCGTTTGTCACCCTCATCCTATAAAAAAAAGCAGTTCTTGAACGTCACTCGAATCTATCTTTCAAAGCCATCCTGTCCTTTTCGATTAGCAACTGAAACAATGGTGTCAGTTATTCAATATTTTAATTTGTTGGGATCCCTCCTTTTTTAATGACAGTTAAATTTAAACTTATTTATTTCAACATGATTTCAATATGTATAGCTTGAGATCTTGTAACGATTCATATATTTTAACAATGCACTTCGCTATATCAATTTTTTATAGCACTCCATAACAGTCACGCCAGAATCATATTCCATGGTATCCAGGATATTTTTAAAGATTCGCCGAATATAAAAGAACTTGAAAGCTTGAATTATTCCCTGGTACATTGGTTGGAGAAAATAAGTCGTGTTTGGAGGCACAAAATACAACCTTAATATTTGAATGCATAGTTTGAACTTCACGAGGGTGTCCCGAAGCATTGTCTAAAACAAAACCCGCCTTGAAATCTAAATTTCTTTCCTTTAAATATGTTTAAATTCAGGAACAAAACAATTTCGCAACCACAGTCATAGAAAATAACACTTGTAACCCACGCTTCTTGTTTGAAGGCCAAAATATTAGCAGGTTATCGTTAGTTTGATTTTTCAAAGCAAGTGGATTTAGCAATTATTACAGCATAATCGGGTTTAAAAACAATCGAAAGATGTCTTGGATCAAAGCAGCAACGAAACTCTTTCAAATATCATTGCATTAAAATCTTTTGCTGCCTTAAAACCGGGGCAGACTTTTCACTCTTGGATATAAACGTTCTGCTTTGAATTTTTTTTTGTAAACAAAGCTGACTCGTCAGTATTAAACACTTTCTCCGATTTTTATCCACCATCAATTATCAAATTACTGCTGCTTCCTTATCTAAATCTACAGCTTCTCCAACATTTTTATGCAATGTAGTGAATGCCGCATCTTAAATTAACTGAACCGACCCTCCGATGCTTGAAATCCTCCTCGATCACCGGATTCTTTAAAATGTTCGTTAAGACGCTTTGCCTTCCATGGATTAAAGAACCCGACAAAGGCACTCTTTTCTAGTTACAACAGTCTTAAATCCACAATGATAAAGCACTCTTCATTTCTTCAATTGCTGGTTAGCGAAATTTTTTTTTGCTAATAATGAAGTAGATGCTGAAAAATTCCTTATTTTGGCTTCAGATTTCTTTAAGGATCTAACAGTTGATTTGTTGACATTAAACGAGCGTACTATGGATTCATACGACTCGCTAAGCTTCCACTTCTACTTTAAGCGGCAACAATTAGGCTTCAATTCTTCCTACGCTACGTCGGTCATGTACGTCGGTCGCGCGTACTAATGTACATTGTGTTCTATATAGCCCCACACTACGACGCTGATGACAACGACGCGTAATTTGCTGCACGCCGCGTACGGCGTACCGCGCGCGATGGTCTCGCTCGTCAGCGCGAGCGCACGTCGGTCAACGGACGAGTGTGGAATAGTGCGAGCGCCCTCACTCTATTACCGACGATCTACGCGTACACGTACAGTTGAAATAAATATCGATACAGAACGTCTTATTTACCTAATGATTTGTACAAAGATGGGAATGCAAAATAGTGGGTAGAAGTTTTCAAGGCTTTATTTCCTGATTGCAATAATGAGAACGACAGTAAAAAAATGAGATCGGTAAGTAAAATACAATGTTAATAATCATAATTATTAACATTGTACTTTACTGACCGATTTCCTTTCCGAAATCAACTTAGCAGACGACTGTACCGTATAGAGCTCGGTATCGCACTATGGTATTTTATTTCTCGCTGACGTACGCGACCGACCGTACGCAACCGACGTCAGCGTAGGAGGAATTCAGGCCTTATTTTCGCGTGCGAATAAATTTTTCGTTATTTTACTCGATATTAAGATCAAACCAGGTGAAGATTATACATGTTGTTTACTCAAAAGTCATGTGATAAATGACTTAATGATAATCATATCAAAGCCTAAGACGGCACGTGCAACTCGGTGGCAGCGTTATCATAGACTGCGGAACATCTAAGGTGGTGGCGACGAAGTTGTCGGCTTTTATCATAAAACTTAGGGCTTAACACAAATAATATTTTATTTACTTTGTAGGTATTTTGACGTCTACTTGTATGTTTTGGCATATGTAAGTGCGAAAACGTTGAATATTGAACAATGAAAATAGTGTCTCTATTCTACCGACTTCAAAAAGGAACCGGTACTCAATTTGACTGCATGTTTTTTATGTTAGTTACCTCACAACTTTTTACTTGGTGAAACGATTTCAATGACTCCTTTTTTATTTGAAAGCTGGTGCTTCACATATGGTTCCATATAAATTTGATCAAGATTTGACTAATAGTTTTAGAGTTATTCTTAATAATTTATATTGAAGTCGTTTGTACAAAATTTTAAATTTTAAATTATGTATTTGTAAGTAAGATGAGCAAGAATTATAATCGTAAGTCCACGAATAAAGACATTGTCGGCCGCGAATCCAGAAAGTGGTCTTAATTTTTTCTATCGCGAATACTGATATCGCGAATAAGGGATCCGCAAATAGGAGCATGATGTACTGTATCTCAAATCTAATAAACGCCATATTAATGGATCCCACCCAGGCAAAGTCAGATTGGATCGCTTGTCGCTTATTATCATATTAATATTATTAAATATTTAGCATTTCCTTATATCTCTCAATTTATTCTATCACCTACTTCTATTAATATTATTATCAGCACCTACTATTTATCTTGTCCTAAAACAATTCTTACTGCCATTATGTCTCGATTTTCGTGAGTCTTGCCAATGCTCTCTAAGTGAACCTCTTGTGGGTGGTTATTGCTTAAATCCTGAAGCCATTTGTAAATGTCGTTTGTTTTAAAATAGCTGCGCCAGTCAAATAGACCCATTTTTCTTCTTATATACGTTTTAACAGTTTGCATATCAAAAACACTGAAAAGTAATTTTTGAAAAGTCGTATAAAAACAGTTTCCTCTGATTTTAGCTTCAAAAAGCGATAAACATGATTTTAATATATATTATATATAGTAAGTGGTAGCTTATTTAAAAAAAAACTGAAGTAACAAAGGAAGTTCCACTTGATGGTAAGTGGCCACTATACCCCATGGACACCAGCAACTAACTTCAAATAAATTACAAGTTGTGAGGAATACCGCTTAAATCCTCAGAAATGCACTTAGGCGATATGCCTCACAACTTGTAACTATACTAGATCTCTATACCTGAGGGGTAAGTTATGGAGAGCCAGCTATTGAGAAGGATTGTTATATATGGAGTTTGATTGCGCAATAGAATAGTTAGTGAAGATATGCAGAAGAACCGGAGTAAATCACAAAGAACTTAAACTTAAATATATATATATATATATATATATATATATATATACACAAGTTTATAATAACCACTGTATATATTCTATCTCATTTTCTCGCAAGGTTAAATCCTATAGATGTATATGTTTGTCTGTGTTGTGTCGATTTTCGTTTTTTTTTTTATAGAATAAGGGTGACAAACGAGCACACAGTCCACCTGATGGTAAGAGGTTGCTGTGGCCCATCCATCTATCTTCGTTTGCGAATTAAAATGTAGATGCGTTGTCAGCCGTGAGGACTAAGATAGAATGCCTCTTTTCCCGTAAAATGGGTCTCCGGTTCTCTACACTCACCATACGAAACACAGCAGCATCAATCTGCTATTTTACGCAGGTATTTTGTGAGAGCGTGGTCCTTCCCCGGTCGAGCCGACCCATTCGTGCTACAACTATACTATTAATATAGCTGCAGCATGGCTCTACCACGTTGATACGTTGAACGTTCCATTTAGTTTCATATCACAACGTTTCTAAAGAAGTTTACTTCAAAAATATTTTACATTTTATTCTCCATATATTACATTACATATTATGGAGACTCCAAGTTTTAAATTCAATCATCATAAGTACTTAAATATTTTCTAATCAACAAACGTCCTTAACCTTTACCGCTCGTAGATCACCTGCATAATATCCATACATAAAAAGCGACACTAAAAAGGGACAAAAATACATATCTACAGGATTTAGTCTGCGAGAAAATGAGATAGAATAAAGTATACATTGTTTACATTGTTGTATTGTATTATCGTCTTGTCTTGTCTACATTGTTATATTGTCTTATTGTCTTATCTACATTGTTTCCTATTATTACAGTATACATTGTTTCCTATTATAATAGGAAACAATGTATACTGTATTCTATCTCATTCTCTCGCAGAATAAATCCTCTAGATATGTATATTTCTCCCTTTTTAGTGTCGTTTTTTCGTTTCATCGAGCTTCAAATCAATTAAATCAAACGATTCTAAAGAAGTATTCACTTCAAACATGCGTTATAAAATTGTTGTTAATTTACTTCTTGACTCTCACACTCGACCGGATATTTTGAGCTCACATAAAGCGTAAAATAACAGCATGCTTCTGCTGTACTGTATCATCTAGACTAGAGCAATAATATATCAGTCACGTGAGTTCGTTAGTTAACCCTGTTTTTAACAATAAAATACACATTGCAATACATCGTGCATTAGTAGAGTACTAGATCGTATAATACTCAACTATTGTACGAATTGTCATGTAGTATTGGCATAAGAGAAAAGCCTCCTGCTGATTGCCTATCTATATTGAAAAAAAAAACTAATCTACTCCGTTCCGTTCCACTTCGTATAATTCCATTCCGTTTCATTCCATTCCATTTTATTCTACATTATCTTATTATCTACAATAGGATAAGCTCACGTCCAATATAGAATTTTACGGATTAATGAAGAAGATTCTGTCATGACGTTGTCCTATCTCGCTCTTAATTTACAAGGCACAAAAGTATGGTGTTAGGTTTAGGTCATTATTTTTACAATTTAGATTGGCTTACATTGTTACATAAAGGTTTTACCTATTTACATCTACAAAAAACATTTCCAGTTTTTTTTCTATGTCATAAATGTAATTTATTAGACTTTAGTCTATGCAATTGTGAACTCCAACTTATTTACCTATCTGAAATAAAGCAACTGTAATAACTCGTTAAGATGTACCTTATTTTGATTAGATAAGATTTTATCTTGTTGAGCAAATACTTTAAAATTATTACTATATTAAAATGTAAAAATGCTACTTACCTTTGTACATCTTTCATGACTGTTATTAAATAAACACCTGATTGTTTAGCATCATTCATAAATGCTTTTTTATGCTCAGGCGATACGACCAGCTCAATAGTTTTGTTAACTTGTCCTGGTGGCCTCCAAAAATTAACATCATATGATAATGTTAGATTCTTGAAAAAGTTTAGTTGTTTATCATTTATTGGTGTAGCGCTAAGTAACGTGTAGTTGTAATATTTTCTTGGCACACATTTCACGTAAGGCATAAGCAATAAATAGAGGATCACTATGAGTGATGCCATTGGCGTACATTTATAAATTTACCTTTGGGAATCACCTACATCCATAGAAAAACGATTTTAATATGTTTTTGTATATATGTCAAAAGTGTCAAATTGACATAATTAATATATGTCAAAGAGAATATAATCACTACATTTATATCATAGACTTAGAATATACTGGCGTAATATTTTAAGTCTATGGTTTATATGCTATTGAAACTAGATCCGAGGTTTTATTTTTTATTAATGTTCTCACTCTATGATTTTCAGCTTAGATATTCCATTATAAAAGTGGTTTAGACTCTATTCTTCAGCTATGTGTGAGACACAAAATAAACAGATATAGTATAATATTTACAACAAAATAAAAGCGTATGATATTATCACCAAAAATAGTATAAATTGAATCCATAATGAAAATATCTCCAATAGAACTGGTAGGTGAGTAAACTGAGGTGGCATTCCGCTGGTCATATATATAGGTAGCTCGAAAAATGACAACCGATGGGAAGAACGGTTCTCAAATAGCAGCCTCGTACGTGTAAGCAGTACTTAGTTCAGCTCCTCGTTAGATTGAGTGACGATCTGGTATGTCATGCCAGAAGATTATAGATGCATATAGCTGAAACCACAGCTGGTAACACCCAACATATTTATAGAATAAGTGTGACAAGCGAGCACATAGCCCACCTTCAGGGTTAGTTGGGCAGAAGACAATTTTATCCCCGGGGAAAGGAGAAATTTTTTATCTCTTAGCTTAGTTTCATCCACCCTTCGAGCATGGGCACACCGGTGGATATAATATCCACAGTAGATAAAATGGGATATAGACTTAGACATATATAGATTTTTGTATGAATATAAGCTTAAACCCACGTCTAAGCTTATATTCATATAAAAATCTATACTAGGATAAAATTATCCCTTTCAAATATCAAAAAAGAATTATTGTTTATCTTTCATTTGGCTCCATGCTACGGACGAGGGATATATGTCTAATCGTTATGTCAAACGGGGAACTGTTCTCGCCGTTTAACGTATAGCTATATAATAGTCAGCATGGCTCTATCAAATATGCACTTCAATGCGTATTTCATCGGATTTTTATACATACATACAAATGCTCTCACGCCCGTCACCCATAGTGGTAAGCAAAGACTACGAAATTCATTCGGCACGATTCTGACTCATCTTTCTCGTTTCTTTCACATCGATAAATCAACACACCCATGCTCGTCGACTAAAGGTGCTCTTAATCATCTTTAATATACCTCCAATTTGGTCGATAAACTTCTGGCTTTTACTGACCTCTAAATATTTATGTTTCCGAGACATGCAGGTTCCATCGCGTTTTCATATATCTCCGAACACGTGGTAAATCAGCACTCAAAATGTTGACGGTCGAATTTAACATCTTTCTTTGCTATGTTTCGGCACTGAAGCGTATTATTACAGTTAAGACTGTAAGGCATTTCATTTTAATCAAGATAAAAAAACATCTGTAGCTTTCGGTATTTAAGTTGGTTGAATTTGTTTATGAATTGATTATTAGTATGAGATCACTAAATGTCACTAAAATAAAATAAAAAAAAATATGAGGACATCGATGAAATTAAAACTATTGGTATTACTATCAAAAATGTATTTTATAATGAATAATAATGTGTGTATACTTTCTCTTTAAAAATCAAATAGGTTTTGGAATTCGTGTGTAGTGCGATAAATTCAAAAATGTACAATAGACAAATCATTTATTTGATAACTTACACTCATACCGTCATAATACAGAAATAAATACAAAATATAACGAAACAAATTTGTTATAAATAAGAGCACACAAACATAAAAAAATAACCTGATTGTATGAGTGATGTGATGTTGAAATACATAGGCTGCACTAAAAGTATAGGGAATGGAATATTTTCACTGTTCCTGTCATATTAAAATCTTTTTAATTGAAAACTCCTTGGTTTTAGAAATCGAATACCATTTATTTATTTAAAAAAAGATTCTCGGTCTTGTAACAAGGTTTTGTCAAACTTGTTTAGTCGTTGAGAAAATGGAATTGACTCGAGAAAATTCAAGAGCGATGATTTATTATGACTTTCGAAGTGGTTTAACACAAAAACAGTGTATTGGTCGGATGATTTCTGCATTTGGTGATGATGCCCCATCTAAAACCACAATTTATCGCTGGTTTGCTGAATTTCAACGTGGACGTGTCAAGCTCAGTGATGATCCCCGTCAAGGTCGTCCAAAAACTGCAGTCACCCAAGAAAACGTTGATGCTGTGCGTAAGCTGATTGAGGAAGATCGGCATGTGACATACCGCGAAATTCAGGCAACTTTAGACATTGGCCTGAGTCAAATACAAATAATCTTGCATGAACAATTAGGTGTAAAAAAATTGTTTTCCCGATGGATACCGCATTCGCTCTGTGAAGAGCAAAAAGCGGCTCGCGTTACTTGGTGCGTCATAACTCTCGAAAGATTCCACGCAGGATCCTCAAATGCTGTATAAAACATCGTATTAGGTGACGAATCCTGGATATACGCGTACGAACCCGAAACAAAAAACCAGTCACGAGTTTAGGTGTTCGAAAATGAGTTAAAGCCAACAAAAATTGTTCGTTCACGGAGTGTTGCAAAAAAAAAATGGTGGCCACGTTTGTCTCCAAAACCAGCCATGTTACGACTATTCCTCTTGAGGGACAAAGAACGGTTAATGCAGAATGGTATGCTAGCATTTGTTTGCCACAGGTCGTTTCTAAACTCCGTAAAGAGAACTGCAACCGCCGCATCATTCTCCATCACGACAATGCGAGTTCTCATACCGCACACAGAACAAAAGAGTTTTTAGAGCAAGAAAACACAGAATTATTAGACCATCCGCCGTACAGCCCCGACTTAAGCCCTAATAATTTCTATAATTTCTCTAAAATAAAGAATAAATTGCGTGGACAGAGATTTTCATCACCTGAAGAAGCTGTGGACGCCTACAAAACGGCCATTTTGGAGACCCCAAATTCCGAATGGAATGGTTGCTTCAATGATTGGTTCCATCGTATGGAAAAATGTGTCAAATTTCGCGGAGAATACTTCGAAAAGCAATACATACATTTTTAAATAGTAATGTTGTGTCACTTCCTTGTTTCCCGAAATTTTCAGTTAGGCACTGAATCAACGCTCGCGCACAGTAGCGGTAATGTTGGTTTTAAGCAATGTCAAATGAGATTGAACTACGCCCGAAAATAAGTCTTTATTTCAATTACAATAGTATTTTCAGAAATCTTAAAATCAAACACATAAATCAGCCTCGTTTAGAGCCGGGGCGGCATCAGAGGCAGCTGGACTAAGTGGCGCAAGTATGAGTCTCTGAGAGATGACTACATATTTGTGCCATTTGCTGTAGAGACTATCGGTCCTTGGGGTCCATGTGCGGTGGAGTTTCTAAAGGAATACCATCCGTGGCTGGACTTTGCTGCTGGGGATAAGAGGGCTGGTTCTTTTCTCGCTCAAAGGCTAAGCATAGCCATTCAGCGTGAAACGCAGCCAGCGTTCTTGGCACGATACCGCGGGGAGTAGGACTATATGATAATTAAGTTTCTAGTTTTAGTTTTTTAATTATAGTTTTTTTTTAATATTGTATATAATAAAATATTTGTAAAAATAATTGAAAAAAAAATACATAAATGTTTTCGAAATTCTGAAAATATCGTCAAGTTTGTCTCGAGATATTTGGGCACAGATTAACGAACGTGGATGGTAAAAAACGTTCGATGGCCTTTATTAGTCGCTTAGTTATTTTGCACTCCTCATCACGACTCTACTCTCGGTATGTGGTCACACCTCAATTTCGCTACATAAAATCGTTCTTATACTTTTAGCTAGACATCAAATCCATAGTATTATTAACCTTACAGTTACTACAGACATTGAATTATAAGATTAGTTTATTTTCTAATTGATTCACTTTAGATAACATAATAAAATATGTAATTGAAAAATACTCGTATATGGACTGCCGTCCGTTGGTCAGTGCGTCGGTGAGTCTTCTCGCTTGATAAAAATATTAGCAATAGCAATCTAATGCTTACATTTTTAATACTATATATCTCAATAGATCATCATCATCATTACAGCCCTTCACAAGTCCACTGCTGAAAATAGGCCTCCCCCAAAGAATGCCACAAAGCACGGTCCTGAGCCACCTGCATCCATCGACTTCCTGCATATCTTACTAGGTCGTCACTCCATCTAGTGAGGGGACGCCCTACACTTCGTCCGCCAGTACTAGGCCGCCACTCGAGAACCTTTTTACCCATCGGTTGTCGGTTCTTCGAGCTATATGGCCGGCCCATTACCACTTCAGCTTACTAATCTGTTGGGCTATGTCGGTCACTGTAGTTCTACTGCGGATATCCTCATTTCTCTAAGTTTATCACGCAAAGAAACTCCGAGCATAGCCCTCTCCATAGCTCACTGAGTGACCTTGAGTTTCCTCATCTCAATAGATATAAAGTATTAAATAAGATTCCATATATTCTAATGAGGGTCCCTATTGATTTTTGTTATTGAACTTAATACCGTTTAAAAGTTATTAATGAAAATCGATTCTCTGTGTTTTTTTCTTGTCTGCCGACTTCCAAAAAGGAGACGGTACTCAATTCGACGCGTATGTTTTTTTTATGTGTGTTACCTCAAAACTTTTTACTGGGTGAACCGATTTCGATAATTCTTTTTTTATATGAAAGCTGATACTTCTCGTGTGGTCCCATATGAATTTGATTAAAGTCAGACCAATAGTTTTGAGTTGTTTTAGTTATTCTTGATAACTTATATTGAAGTCGGATGTACAAAATTTCTAATTTAAATTATAAAAATTATCGTCACGTTTTTTTATTTTTTTCATCAAACTTAAATGAAACGCTCATGAGGCGTGCACATTTGGGTTTTTCAAGTTATTTCAAACTACGCAATGGATTTTAATGCGGTTTTTATCAATAGACAGAATGATTCAAGAGGAAGGTTTTATGTATGTATAATTATATCAATTCTTGTGAGCGTGTGTATGTGACTGAACTTCTCCTAAACGGCTCCACCGATTTCGATGAAATTTTATGTGTATGATTAAGTTGAATTGAGTAGGTATGGTTTAGATTCACGATTGGACTCGGTGTGTGGCGCTGTTGTCGAAATCCAGAAATCATCCGTGCAAAGCCGGGGCGAATCGCTAGTTATTGCTAAGACGCAATACAAAACTTAATAAATGTATCACTCTTATTTATTAATGTATCTCTATAATATTAATGTGCTTTTCTTAACGTCTTAATAGACATTAAGTTTAGTTAAATAAATTAGCCAATTTAATTGGGTAGCGTGACCTTGGCAAGTCGACAATAAAGCCAAACCGCACTGTGAGATATGCAAATAATTTAAACGCTGATCTTGTTTGAAAATGAAACGCTTAAAGCACGTCCTAATATATTAAATACTAAGGGCATTTAGATCCACAACCATAGGTCCCCAACAGGTTGCGGCATACTCCTTATTCATATATCATGTTACAGCTTAGGCTAGAGTACTATACATTACATGCAATCCCTTCAGTAAAGTTTTGATTTTAGGTCACTGTGAAGGCTTTTCTTAAGGTAAGTTTATTAAGTTTAAAGTGAATAATTATACGAAAAAGGCACTATTTTTTTATTATATTTCTTTTATTTAAAAAAAACACTAGTAATGCTATTAAACATTACTAATATTCCCTTTAACCACTTCTGGTAAGCTTAAAATGCTTGTGTTAGAAGTGGTTCACGACAGTAATCGAATGGCGGATTCGAACTCACGACCTTTCGAGTTCGAGGTCCGCGCCCTGCCATTTGGCTACTGACACTTTTAAATCTACTATCACTACTTTTTTTTGACAACTTGCTTCTCAGCAACTTTGATGAATAAAATCTTCAAAGAAAATATATTTCAACGAGTATACTCTAGGAAATTAAAAAAAAAATTGCATAACCAAAATATATAAACAATGGAATAATATAATAGATATATAATAATATTATCAACTTAATATTCTCGGTTATGCATGTTTCGACACGATGTAGTTACTGGTACAGGTGAATATAACTCAGTTTATTAGCGTATTATGTAAAGGGCGAATAGGGTTTTGTTATTATGTCTAACTACTTATATCTTATAAAAAAAATATGCATTCTGCAGCCAGGATCACGAAAAAAATTAAAGACAAAATCATCATCATCACTATTGTAGCCATTCATAAGTCCATTGCTGAACACAGGCCTTCCCAACACAGTCCTGAGCCTCCTACATACATCATTATCCTATGACATCCATCAATATGCATATCTTACCACCCAGATCATCATTAGATGGAGTGAAGAACCTCACTTAATTTACTGGTACTAGGCCGCCACTATAGAATCTTTCTTACCCATTCGTCGGTTATCGGTTTTTCGAGCTTTGTCTTCGCTTCCAGGGCATAGATGACATATATAGGAATTTCAGGTTTCGAGGAATACACGACGAGAAGTCGTAATCTTTCGAACGCCGTTCAGCCAACTTGGATCCGTCGATTGACCTCTCATTCAAAGTTTAACTTACCTAGTCGGACAATTTTTCCTAGGTAAGCATACTCGTCAAAAACTTCGAGTGTATTGTTTCAAAAGCCACCGGCATAGCTGTGTCCCATGGACGTTACACCTGACCTTTGTCTTGTTACACGCCTTAAGCCTTATCCGTTCGGAGACACTAATGAGGTCATTGACCATAGTGCTAAGATCCTCCATCGATTTTGCCATAACCACAAATCGAAGGTAAGTGATATATTATGTAGTTATTGATGATGGTACCCAATCCAATATATATTTTAAATCCAGTAATTTGATAATACCAAAATACCAATTCCAATACTTGCTGTATTTTGTATAGTTTCAGAGATACATCTTCACCCATTCATAAACATACACCTCTCATCATTCTCTAAACCATTTCCCATTATCTGGGGTCGGCGCAGTAAATCTTTTTGTTCCATTCCTCTCTATCAGCCGTCATTTCCATACTTACTCCTTTCATTCTCATATCACTCTTCACACAATCGATCCATCTTTTATTCGGCCTTCCTCTGCCCGTGTGTCCCTCCACATTCATATTCAACACTCGTTTTGTGACATGACTTTCATTCCTCCGCATCACATGCCCAAACCATGCCAATCTGCTTCCTCTCACCTTTTCTACCACTGGCGCTACTTTCAGGCTTCCTCTTATATACTCATTCCTTATCTTATCCATCCTTGTCACACCACACATCCATCGTAACATTCTCATTTCATTCGCATGCAGTCTATTTTCATCCTTCTTCTTGACGGCCCAGCATTCACTTCCATACATGACGACAGGTCGGATGATCGATTTGAAAATTTTCCCCTTCAGCCTTATTGGCATTCGGGGATCGCACGTTGTGGCTGTGACCTGTCGCCATTTCATCCACCCTGCGTTAATCCTATGCTGCACAGCTCTATCTATTCCGCCGTCGCCTTGAATGAGGGAACCGAGGTACTTGACATCTGAGCAGATAGGCAGTATAGCGCCATCCAACGACATGGGTACAGGACTGGAAAGACCGCCGAAATCACAGCACAGATACTCGGTTTTGGATCTGCTGATCTTCAGGCCAACACTTTCCAGCCTCCATTGCCACCCCGTCAGTCTGCTCTGTACCTCGATGCCTTCTTCCCCGACAAGCACGATGTCATCGGCAAAGAGCATGCACCAGGGTGCCTCATCCTGCAGGTCCGACGTCAAAGCGTCCATAATCAGTAGGAAGAGGTAAGGGCTCAGTGCCGACCCTTGGTGCAGCCCTACCGCCACATCGATACTGCCCGTAGTTCCCGCGGCAGATCGTACACATGTACGGGATGCTCTGTACATAGCACGGACCAACCTCACATACTTCCCAGGCATACCTTTCATCTTTAACGCCCACCACACGACCTCACGGGGAACCCGATCGTACGCCTTTTCAAGGTCGACAAAAACCATGTGCAGATCTTTATGCACGCGCTTGTACTTTTCGCACAATTGGCGTAATGCGAAAATGGCATCTGTCGTACCTCGACCGGGCATGAATCCGAACTGGTTTTGTGTTATCTCACACTCTTCTCTCATTCTTCTCTCTATTACTCTTTCCCAGACTTTCATCGTATGTGACATGAGCTTTATTCCCCGGTAACTGCTGCAGTTTTGAACGTCTCCTTTGTTTTTAAAAATGGGAACCAGTATACTACTGCACCATTCCTCAGGTATTTGTTCTTCCTGCAACAATTTACCGAAAAATAAACTCAACCACTTCCATCCATCCGCCCTCAGCAACTTCCATACTTCTACTGGTATTCCATCTGGGCCGACCGCCTTCCCATTCTTCATATTCCTAACAGCCATTTTTACTTCTTCCACACTAATTAAACATACACCTCTCTGCAGTAAAAAGGTTTCATACTCTGATCCTGTACTCAGATAACCAACGTAGCCTTGCTGAATAAGCACTTTAGCACTAGGTATACCTACAGTTACCTGGCACTACTGAAGAGACTGTAGAACCACCCGAATTTCGTTGGAGTCGAAGGCTTTCTTATAGTCCGCGTATAGAAGACAGCGTGACAGATTGAATTTATCGCTCTCCTATAGAATTGACCACAGTTTATAAATAAAAATTTAAAAGTAATATGTTTACATTACAATAAAAGTAAAGAAATAAAAACGTTTTATTTCAAAAAGCACAATGTGATTAATAGCATCACGTTTGCAGTTATTTTATATGACGCATTAAATAAGTCCGCCCGTACGCGTCTTGGTTTAGCAGTCATCAGCTCAACCAGTCCAATTAAAGTTTCTTGGCAGGTTGGCATTATCTGTTCGTTTGGCAATGCAAAGCCATAAGTTCCATTGTCTCGTAACAAAAACGTTATTACATATCTGAAACAATGAGAAAATATAAGAACATTTTAAACGAGATAGCTTTTATACCTTACAGTCTATAAAGTCCACTGCTTAACATGGGCCTCCCCCACAGATTGCCCTATAGGGGGGATTCTGCCTTAGTTACCACACTTGGATTAGCAAAATTGCCTGTCAACTGCAGTTTTTTTATCAAGAAGATCCCTCTGTCACCTTTTACGACACCCAAGGCACAATATGGGGTTGCAGATATTCTTGCACCATCAATACACAGTGGATACTTTAAACGGGCATCAAAATTATGAGTAGTCATAGAGTGAGATCTGGCTGAAGCGCTGCATAGACGCGGATTTGAATCCGGTCTGTATGTTGATCATGTGCAATTTATGAATCATAAATACGTTTACGATATACAGGAAAATTCTTGTATAAGAGGTCCGTTTTTTGTTAAAAAATAATATCAAGATTTTATTTAACGGGTAAAAACATTCCCTTTATATTACAATCGTCTTTGCATCTGAAAATGAAGACGAGATTTTACAAAGTAGTAGTTGTAATGCTAGTGATGGATCTGGGACGTGGTCCTTCACTACTCACTGCTGGTCGTATGTGGATGCTCAAGGTCGCTTAGTGAGCTATGGAGAGGGCTATTCTCGGGGTTTCTCTGCGTGATAGACTCAGAAATGAGTATATCCGCAGTAGAACCAGAGTTATCGACATAATCCAAAGGATTAGTAAGCTGAAGTGGCAATGGGCCGGTGAAATGGCAAAATTTGGGACGGCCCAGATGAAGTGACGACCTGGTAAGACATACAGTGATACAGGAAGCCGATGGATGCAGTTGGCTCAAGGCAGCGCTTTGTGGCATTCCTTGGGAGACGCCTATGTTCAGCAGTGGACTTGTGAAGGGCTGTAATGATGATGAATGATGATGTAAAGTCCGAGTAAAATTCACAAGTGCAATTCAGCAATTAGAATTCACCGCATAACAACGTCTGTCAAGCCAGCAAGTAGTTTTACAAAACATCAAATCGCAGGCATGAGTAAGGCGACTAATCGTACTAAACTTTTGGTCTGTTGCAATGGTTATTTTTGTATAATCCATTAATCTGTACCACAAGTGTATTATGCGTCTTGCACCTGCATTTATTAAACTCCTGCTTTATGAAATGTTCTCTTTCCTTTCATTGATAAATACCACATATTTTAAGGTCAAATAACAGTCTATATAGGTCCCACTGCTAGGCACAGGCCTCCTCTCATTTCTGAGAGGGCTTAAAAACACATGGAGCACATGGATAAATAACACGTGGACATCGGAAATGTTTTTACAAAATTGAATTGCTACGATTACTGTACAAGAAAACCTTATCATAAACTAATTTAATTTTGTAAGAAACGCCATTTATGTGGGACTATTTACACAGACATTCATACAGTCTACCATCTTAATAATAATCGTCATTACTCCTTTATCCATTATTTATATTAATAATAATTCCATTTTATCGTTTAATTACCATATAATTTAAAATATTGACTAACCTAAATTAAAAATTAAAGACTCGCAACACTTACTTAGGTTTGTAATTATTTTTAACCCAACTCGTACTACTGCCAGATACACGTACACCTGTAAAAAATATCGGATATAAAAATAAAAATAAGTAAAATTAAAGGCAAAAAAATACGTAAAATTTGTGTTATTCAAAGTCTAAGTTCTTAACTTATTCTAAGTTCAATGTGTAGTATTTGCATAAATAGAAGAAACCAATATGTATATTAAAAATAAACTTTTAGTATCTGGAATTTATCGCTTAAGTCTTGAGAGAAATTGATTTTGCTTACCTAATGTATCATACGTGGTTCCAATACTGTATTTCACGCCGTTCAGTTTATACATTCGTAATATTGCTTGCTTTCCAAAATTATCCTGAAATATAATTTATTTTTACATATTGAATAAAACTACTTTTACGGATTTCATCGCGTTTAATTATCTTGTTTTTTATTGACTCCAGACGTTTCGGACACTTTACTGCACCCATGGTCACGAGGCATCAATAAAAAACGAGATAATTAAACGCGATAAAATCCGTAAAAGTAGTTTTATTCAATGTGTAGTGTTCGCGTAAATATAAGAAATCAATATTTTTATGTAATTATATTTAAATAAACGTTTGCATATATTATTAAAGTATGCTTATCCAGCTATATAGTGGCGGTGTAAGATTATGCACTAAATCATATTACCTTATGCGTATCGTAAAAGGCGACAGAGGGAAATAAAGCAAGAGATGCGGAGCAGGATCTTCCTAAAAAATAATAAAATGCCACAATAGCCAACCTATTATTTAATGTGCTTCTCATTTGCTCTAGTTCCTGGGTAACTATTTCACAATTGTCTGAATCAACCACAACCGAGGGATCTACAGCGGCATCCATAGTAGTAATTTGCGAAGCCGCATACCCAGTCATAGCTGCTTCATACGATGAGGGAATAGCCTAGTTTGTAGTTAAGCGCTGGTTTAGAATGGTAAAAAAATGATGTGAAAACGAGGCGTTTATGAGTGAGGAAATTTTTGAAATAAATGATATAGAAATTCCGAAAAAAGAGGATAAAGTTAGGGAGATAAGTATAGATGAAATAATAAAAGCTATGAAAAACATGAAAGCAAGTAAGGCAGCTGAATATGATAGAGTATCACTCGAAATACTAAGGGCTGGAGAGGAGATTAATTTATGTTGGGAGCATAAGCGGATACCGAAAGACTGGTGCAAAGTCATGATATTCCCAATATATAAGGGAAAAGGGTTACAGCAGGAACGTAAAAACTATCGTGATATCAATCTTCTTGGCATTGTCGGAAAACTGTATGCTAAGGTACTAATTGAAACAGTTGTGAAAGAAATGTATGAAAAAATTGGGATGTGCAAGCTGGATTTATGAAGTGAATGGTGTGTAAGGATCAAGTCTTTATTACGCGCCACGATTGCGGAGAAGTTTTTGGTCAAAACCAAATAGTTTTTGTGCGTTCATGGACTTGGAAAAGGCTTATAACAGAGTAGACAGAGATGTGTTTGACTGCAAGCACTGAACTCATTTGAGTTGAGCACTGCGTTGATATAGGCATCAAAGTCTCTTTATAGGAACTCTAATGCTTGTGTCTGGATAAACAGGTCTACTGGAACTGGTTTGGCATCTATAAAGATGTCAGGCAAGGTTGTGTGGCTTCCCCGTGTATAGTCAACCATTTTATGGACAGTTGTTTGAAAACTTTGAAAGTTGAAGAATGTGAGTTAAGAATGGATGAGGTGACCTCAAATGCCTTTTGTACGCCGATTATTTTATCATATTTGCATCGACGGCGTCCGAGTGCAAATGATGGTTACATTAATGTACAAGTCATTAAAAGAAAGGGGAATGAAAGTGAACGTAAGTAAGAAGAAAGTGATAGTTTTTGGAAAAAGAAGAAATAAAACGATATTTGAAATAAGAATAGATGGTGCTTTTGAAGTACATTAATTTGTGTATGTGGGATGTGTATTTAGCAGGGATGGTAGAATATGATAACGATATAGAACGAGTGAATGCAGGAAATAGATTGAATGGGGCTTTAAACTCAATTGTGGAAAGTTCTAGCACCATCATCCCCAGCACCAACACTCTCAGCACCACCAACCGCTAAGCTTAGCGGCCAGCCTCCGCTGAGTCTACTTCATCTGAGGATGCCTCATGTAGAGGGGAAACACGTGTCGTATTATCCAGAGTGGTGTGTCGTTCCTAATGTAGTGGTTTTGGGAGTGGTAGTGCTGGGAGTGTTAATGCTGGGGGTGATGGTGCAGGAGTTCGTGATAACGGTTTAGTGCACGCAATTGAGGAAGTGTGGAAGGTTCCTTTCAAACTGGGCAGGACACATTATTTTCTTTCTTTACGCTGTTTTAAGCAAATTAAGCTATAACAACCTACTTTTAATGAATTTCCGCTAAGTAACATTTTATTCTATTATTTATAATAATTATTTTATAGATCAGACCAGATCAATCGTAAGAATGAATAAGAAAACAATATCATTATAAGAAACCCCTTCACAAAATCACTTCAGTGTCCTGATCCGTGTAGCTATTACACTAATTGTATATATATTAGCATTCTTGTTTTGCTGCGGACATCAGTGTTGACAACTTTACAAAAAGTGATATATTAATTAAAAAAAAATTAAAAAAAGCCTTACGTGCAACTTACCATTTCCGAAAAATTTTCTACGTGTTTGATTCTATCGCCATATGGAATAATAAGTTTTTGTCCATATGCGTGAAATGATATATAGAATTTCAAATGTTCTCGTTTCTCCGTTATAAATTCTGACAATGCCTTTGACTCCGGCTCCGAGAAGGGAGCAGGACCACAATAATTATCGTCTTTAGGATTCGTACTCGTTTCATATTCTATTAAAAAAAATTAGTTTAACGATTAATTTACACAGTCTGACTTCGACGACAGCGACATTATTAGAGCACATCATGTAAATCTATACTACGAGGGCTGGTGATCAGTGCAATGCAGAGTCTACTACTTAATAATTCTTGAGTGCGAATCCCAGCCGGAAAATTTAAACAAAATAAAATATTGCTGTGTAACATACAACAGTACAGTCTAGACTCAAATTTTGATTTGTTTTAGTGGGTGGTTTCTAGATGCTAACAACAGCACCACCTACTAGATACAATTTTAAATATAATCTGTCCAGAAGCTTACTCAAACACACACAAAAAAAAAACACCAGTACAACCGTTTAGGAGGAGTTCAGTGACAAACACATGTACAGGATAATCTTTATATATAAAAATTACGTGTCACGTTGTTTTTCCGCGATGGACTCCTAAACTACTGAAGTAATTTCAATGAAATTTTGCACACTGTGTGCAGTTTGATCTAAATTGAGAGATAGCATAGTTTTTATCCCGATAAGTGACTCTTAACATTTTTCGTTAGGAATTAAAGGATTTCTTTTATTGGAGAAAGGGTCATCTCAGGAAAGGGCAGAACAACGTCTGCCTGGTTAGCTAGTTGTATATATATACATATATATACACATATATATATATATATATACATATAGATATATACATATATATATTTATATATCTTTATATATAAAAATCTTTATATATATATATATATACTAGCTCGCCAGGCAGACGTTGTCCTGCCCTTTCCAACGACCCTTCCTATGAAAATCCTTAAACTCGCAATAAAAAATTTTGAGGGTCATTTATCGGGATAAAAACTATCCTATCTCTCAAGTTGGACCAAACGGCACACATTGTGAAACATTTCATTGCAATCAGTTCAGTAGTTTAGGAGTTCATCGCGGACACACAATGTGACACGTAATTTTTATATATAAAGATATATAAATATATATATGTATATATCTATATGTATATATATATATATATGTGTGTATATATATGTATATATATATATATATATACATATATATATGTCGGAGCGTCTACAAAATATCACTTGGATCGAGGTGGATGTGAGGGTATATCGAGAAACTCCCACTTGTTTGTGCAGTATACAAGTTCACTGTAGGTACCGTGCGCGTGGGATTCCGCTTAAGTCATTCAACGAGTGTGGTCATTCTACTAGTGCTAAGATAGTGCGTGGTTCTGTTCGTTGTTTTAATTCTTCTAGTGCAGGCAAGGAGGATTGGTGTTGCAGAGAGGTTGCACTGTGTTACAATTAGATAAGTAGTGTTGTTGTTGGTTTACATAATTTGGTGTTATCATGTAATTGCGTTCCTCACGTTACACTGGTGTGTGATTGTGGCGGAGACGTGTTACGGTATGGTCGAACTGTAATTTCACTATACTGAATGCATAGTGCGTTACGTTGTCTTATTACTGATAATGATTAAACTGCGTAAGCAAGAGAGCAAGTTGAACATCCGCTCTCACACTTTTATTATTTTTAACAATTAACGCTATCCTGATGTATTTCCGAGATCAGAAATGGGATCTCTTGTTGTAATTCTCCGACATCAGAAGTGGGATCTCGTGTTGTAATTTCCGAGATATATAGAATATGCTTCAGATACCAATGGTTGGAATACCAACATTTTTCTCTCAAATAAAATTCAGATTCATTTTTCACACTTATATCCTGTAACGTTTCTGTTCTTATACTCGTTCATTTTGTCGAAGCGATATAGATGATATCCAAGATGTCTGATGCCGCCAACTACTAAACAGACCATGTATTTGGTTTACGAGTAATTAATGATTCGTTTCTAAATAAGAACCCAGGTAAACCTTTGTATCCACCACTGCGCTTCTTGTTTTTGGCTCCACCATTAATAAATCGTACATGTTGCTGTCTCTTCCTCTTTTGCATGTATACATAGAACTTTTTACGACGTAAGAAAGTATGCGTCACAATAAAGTTTATAAACAATTAAAATGTGAATAGACTTTTCCAATTCTCACTTTTCATTAAAGGTAAATATTATGCAAATATTATATTTCATTTCATTTCATGTTATCGCTTAAGAATTACATCGGCCACAGAGGGAATACATACTCGGGGACGAAGCTTAGTATAATGAACATAAAGGGAAGGTTAAGATAATTACTTAATATAAAACCTCAAAATATTAACAAGCAACGTACTTCCAAAATTATGATCAAAATTTCGATTCAGATCAACGCCTTCACCATTGTCAAATTTTCTTCTATTTTTTCGCCATAACCGATCCTAAAAATGAAAATTAATTAAGCTCGAAAGTCATAATATTAGAAGGTATTATACAATGTAAATGAATGAATTGAATAAAATAAATTTAACGAATTTAATCGTCCTTATTATAGTATGTGTGTAACTATAAGAAACAATAATGATAATCATCATCATCATTATAGTCCATTACAAGATGATAGACATACCCCAAAGAATGCAACAAAGCACGGTCCTTAGACCTTACATCCTTCGATTTCCTGCATCTCTTAACAGATCGTCGCTTCATCTACTCGTAATAACCAAGAAATAAAATTCGCTGAAACTTGGCGACAAAGATTTCTTATTCAGTTCCAAAATAGTCGAATTCTGAACATGGGCCTCTGCCCATAGCGATATTATCTAAAATTACTATAATAAGCAGGTCAATGGGTGGTCGCGATACCTACATTTGTATTTTAGCCTAACAAATATGAGATATTTAAACCGTCATTCAACGATGGCCATATTAAAAGGTCTGCCTTGCTTCTACTTAAAAGGTCTGCCTTTCCGTTAGTAATGTATATTATACGACAATGTACACGATGCGATGTAATGGGGTAACGGATTCTCTTACGCTGCAACCACAAGAATTTGAGAAAGAAGAAATGTCCCGCTGAGCATAAATATCACGAAGAGCGACCAACGCTCCGTGTGATAGTACAAAGCGTGTTCTCAATGTTCAGAGTCGTTCGGAGGTTTCGATAGCGAAATTTAGAATTCGGTTCGTTTACGTTTATGACGCGATGACAGCGCTGCTAAAGAATATAGTATATCTGTTGTACCACAAATTGATCGGCTCGACTAGGAAAGGACCACGCTCTCACACAATACCTGCGTAAAATAGCAGTTTTAATGCTGCCGTGTTTCGTATGGTGAGTGTAGAGAACCGGAGACACATTTTACTGGAAACGAGACATTCTATCTTAATCGTCAGGGGTGAAAACACATCTGCATTTTGATTCTTAATCGAGTATGAATGTAGATGTCTATAGGCCACTGCATTAATTTATTATCAGGTGGACTGTCTACTCGTTTGTCACCCTTATTCTATTAAAAAAAATGAATAACAATACTAACAACTTTAATGCTGTAATCAAAACCATCTGGATTAACTATGGGTATTATAAACCAGTTATATTTGTTTGCCAATTCATTGAGCCGATCGTCGCCTATATCTTGAGCGTAAATAAGCTTCTTAATTAAAAATGTAACAAACGCCGTTGAAATCCATTCATGACCGTGAATACCGGCATCAATGATTACGTTAGCCTTATTATTAGATATTTTTATAAATATTGCATAAATATCTCTCCCCTCAACTGATTTACCAATACTGTGTAATTCGACTGTTTTAGGAAATTTCAAAGCTACATCTGATATCCATTGATAGATATCTTCTAAACTATGATAGGAGTCCCAGGTAAATGAATCGGTTTTAAGGCTTGTGTACTTCTTGATTTTTTGTGAGTCGAATGCACTGCAAAAAAATAATTAAAAAAAATAAGGATAACTTATGTTACTTGTTATTTTACAACTGAGATACCAAAGCAAAATAGATGAATATATTTTTTCTTTTCTAAATTAATGTTTTTTTATTGCTAGTCTGAGGCTTCTCACAATTCTTAATAATAATTCTACTTCCTTGATTGCTCAGACCAAGACTAGAGTTGCGGATTAATCTTTACGAAAATGAATACGAAAAGTTTCAAGCGTGAGCAATTTAACTTAATATTAATATACTTAACATATTTAAATTGTAAAGCAACCTAACTATCTGCGATGAAATAGAATAAATAAATTAAGTAAAAATAAATAACACAATAATTATCTGGGTACAGATAATTTTAAAAAAATCTAATAAATTTTGTTTATTATAATATATCATAATATATTATGATATGAATGCCGTTCCAGCTTATTGAAACTCAATGCTGAACTCCTGCCGGCCTTCTCCAAAGATTACCTCATACGGTGGGTATTTGCCTACTCCTTTTTAAAAGGCCGGCAACGCATCTGCAATTCCCCTGGTGTTGCGGTTGTTCATGGACGGCGGTAGTCACTTACGATCAGGTGAGTCTCATGCTCGTTTGCCCCCTCTCCTATAAAAAAAAGGTTGCCACGCTTGACAAGCGGGCTGGCAACCGCAATTTATGTTTTTAGTCGTTATTAGGAAGACGCTGCTGCACATCTTCTGATTTGTCCTCTGTCGACTCTTACGGCACCCACGGGATGATATTGGGTAGTGGATAATCTTACACCGCCACTGCACGGAAGATCATATAATTATTTAAGTTAAAATAAAGATTTTATTATGTATTATTTAGTAAGAGTTTATATAACCTTTGAATGTTTGGTATTAATGTGTGTACTTCCAACTTAAAGTGATTAAGTCTTTCTTGGAACAGCTCTGAATCGATTGGATTAACTATAAAATGGACATCATTAAATAGTTTGGAAGGTCTCTTCCAGAATATCACATCAATATACTTTTGGGACTGTAAATTTTGCAAAAAATTCAATTGATATTGTTCCGTGGGGGTCGCACTATAAAGTGTAAAGTTATCGTATCGGCGACTTTGACACAATCCAAAATATACCAGAAACATAAAATTTACAAAAAACACATTCATAATTTTAACACTCAAAAATTTTTTGATCACAGATTACTGCATACCAGTCTATTTTTGATTCAAGTTCAATTTCGGTGACAAATTCTGACGCTTGACATTTGAAATGTTTAATTTACCACAGATAATAGAATTTAAATAAGTTTCGATTAAAATTTCTTCTAAGCTATTTCATTTCACGTTGCTATGCTATTTTGAAAATATAATTGATTCGGCCTTTCATCGGAATATAAATATTTATATTTTAGCTTAAAAATTGGAAAAATTAATGGAGTATATATGGGAATTCGTATTATATAACAAAGTTACATTTTATTCACTTACCTTCCCCCTCCCGCGCGGGTGTCAAATCCCTTCCCCGTCTGCCGAGTCACAAAAAGTGTCCAGCATTGCGGTTTTTTCCAGTTTAAAAAAAAACAGTACACGATACAACATGAAAAGTGTATAGTGTGAGGGAGAGTGTATACGTACGTATGCTGAAAGATAAAGGCACTTTATTAATTTTGTCAATTGTTCCCTACGTTGCCATCTAAAATGCTTGAACTAGGTGTCATTTCATGTCGCGCGTGAAACCGCGGGGCACAGCTATTATATTATATGTGCAAAATATTATATCAAAATACCACCACTCCATGACTCCACGACTTCACTGACTAAGATTCCAAAGGCATTAAATCCCTTCAACTGAAATAAATTCATTTTGTAAATTTTTCGCCTCAGTTTATTTCATACAAATGGTCATTTGCATAGTAGTTGTTGTTAGTAGTAACAGTTCCAACAAGTACGAGGGGCAGTTTTGGTCAATGTATACTTATTCGAGGGGACAATTTATGTCTATGTCGACCCTGCAATTTATGGACGGCCGGTCCCTACGTATGTGTATTTTTGTTTACATGGTTCAATAAATAAAAGGTATCGCGTTGTCTTTTTAGCTTCAAAATATGTATAGTAAAATTGACTTATGAGAGTAAATTGCTTCAACTATGACATTTTCTTACAAAGTTGATCTATTTGTTGTTTAACTAATCATTATTTAGTAACTACTGCTGCCTATGGACCCCTACTAGCAACTTAAAATAAATAAGACAGATGTGTTGTCACCTCTGAGGATCCAAATCGGAATAATTAAGGGGTCCTACTGACAAGGATTCCATAAAAGGAGAGGAATCGTAAAACCTAAAAATCCAGTTTACGTTATAAAAATGATAATTATAAAAAATTATTATTATACTTCCCCATTTGAAACGGATTTTGTTCACAATTCCCATGGTTCTTAACTTTTGCGCAGAATTGTAATTATTTTTCTAAAATAAGCCTAAGTAATTGCGTATAACATCAACTATCTGCCAGTGAAATTCCCATCAAAATCGTTCAAGCCGTTTCGGAGATTAGCCGAAACAAAGAGACAGACAAAAATTAAAAAATTGTTTTTTGTTATGAGTACCGTATATGTATAATACTTTCATAAGCATTGATTTAAAAGCTTTTTCATTATAATATACATCATAATAATTGATATCAATGATTTTTTTTCCAAATATTTTCATTTAAGTTCTCGTGTACATATGGATAATATGAGTGTCGCCTTTATAAAAATGGGCGACAGATATATAAAAAATATTAAAATAATTCGAAGAAATCTAAGAGGGATAGAAAAATTGCAGTGTATTATTTTCTAATACGGATTGCTGTGAGATTATTGTTGAGAGCTCCTTATATAGTAAATTGAAAAAAAAAATACAACATATCTCTAGTATAATATTATTTTTGAATATTACAAACACTAGGTTTTAAGAAATCGCCAGAGAATAAGCTGCAATAACGTCATCTTTATAGTTGTTATAGTCAAATAATCATCTTAATTATATTTATATATTTAAAAAAATATAAATTAATATGTAATAGAAAATCGATCCAGTTTTAAAACACTAATGTAATAAGTAAATTCAAATTACATGATGCAGTTATCTACTAATGGTGGTACCATCTAGTTAATTTTAATAAAAGTTTATGAAACTAACAAAACTTTGTAAAAAGAAAACCAATTTTCAGTGTTGCAAACATCTTTTAGCTAATTGAAAATGAAAAATATGAAGAATTTTATGGCAAACTGGAATTTGTGTAGCCATCTGAAGCTTAACTTCTCGCATTATTCATTAGAACTTTAGTTTCGTAGACAGTCGCATTTCTTCCGTTATTTTCCTTTAACTGAACTTTTAATGAGCGCGGAACGCTTTTTCTTTGCGCAATATTTTGCTGTTTATCATTCAACGAATGCGAATTTATAAAATTGAATTTTAATTATTTCGAAACTTTATTTTTTTTTCTAAAATTCAACCTACGGAAGCACTACCGGTTTAATTCAATCAATTTGACTATCCAATTGTTATGAGCAGTTTGCGTATGATAGGATATTTCAGTTGCCGTATCATGGTGGCGTGAAGAAACCCATTACCTTTATTCTGTTGGAAGTGCCAGGAAAATGTCATGGCTTCCGATAAATAGCGGTTTAACTATGTATTAAACCACTACTTTTCTGGACCGGCGAGGATATCTACTTCTATGATCGGCAATATGTCTGCCAAGCGTGTCCTCATTATAATAGGAGAGGGAAGTGTTACAAGCTGATGATGAAGAATAAGGATGCTTAAGTGCTGAAATTATGTTCGTAAATATATGAGGATAACGTGCACTCGCGCGTTCCTCGCTTTAATCTACGACAGACCACGCATAAAGATTTGCAGAAAAAAAATATATGAGGCACTGGCCAGTTATATTTTATTTTGAAAGTACGATTATTTACAAGTAAAAATACGAATGTTCCAGTTTCAAGTTTCCCTCCACTTTTTTACGAGTATAATCGAAATATCGTGTTTCATTAAAAATGAATCTGGGTCAGGCACATTTTCGCCGGAATATTTTGTACGATTTTTAATGTCGCCTTAAACTGGACGATTCGTTTAATAAATTTCAAATGATTTTTTTATAGAATATGGGTGACAAACGAGCACACAGTCCACCTGATGGTAAGTGTTTGCTGTGGCCCATAGGCATCTACATTAATCCTCGATGACGAATTTAAATGCAGATGCGTTGTCAGGCGTATTTATTAAGGCCCTTCTAAAGCAACCGTGTACTGCTGTTATAACAAATTTTACCATGGTCGACATACTTTATGAGGTGAAAAAAGTGGCTGACTTTTGACGGCTGCTAGAGAATGTAAGGTACTAGTAGTGACAAACTTATTTGAAGAGAATTCGCGAATTACATATGAAGACATTTGGTAAAGGTCAACGAGATAATACACAAACACGTTCACTAGTCTACGTGCTGTTTTCGAGTCTCATTACGAATCGTCTCGCGCGCAGACTTGACGACCTCCAGCCTCCTGAACAAGCCGGTTTCCGAAAGGGCTTTAGCACCATAGACCACATACATACCCTTCGGCAAATTGTACAGAAGTCCGAAGAGTACAATTTGCCAGACATAGTGTCTGGTATATGTGGACTATGAGAAAGTCTTTGATTCCGTCGAAATCGCAGTTCCTTCAGCGGTGCCAAGTTGACTTTCGGCATATCGAAGTGCTGAAGTGTTTGTACAGTAGAGCTACGATGGCTATCCGAGTACAGAACCAGAGTACGAAACCTATCCAATTGCAGAGAGGTGTAAGACTGGGTGACGTTATATCCCCGAAACTCTTCACCGCTGCATTGGAATACGTTTTCAAGCTTCTGCACTGGAAAGGATACGGTATGAACATCAATGACGAGTACATCACTCACCTTCGATTTGCCGACGATATAGTCCTTATGGCAGAATCGTTGGAGGACCTAAGCACCATGCTCAATGAGCTCAAAAGTGTCTCCCAAGGAATAGGTGTTAGGATGAACATGGACAAAACAAAGATCATGTTTAATGTCCATGTCACACCTATGCCGGTTGTTGTTGGGAGCACTAAGCTCGAAGTTTATGTATGTGTATAGTATGTTTACCTGGGACAAATAGTCCGACTAGGTATGACGGATTCAACTCGGCTGGGCAGCGTTCGGGAAACTACGACACATCTTCTCGTCAGACATACCTCAAAACCTTAAAACGATATTGTACACCCAGTGCGTGTTGCCAGTGATGACTTACGGATCTGAGACGTGGTCCTTCACTGCTGGCCGTATGAGGAAGCTCAAGGTCGCTCAGCGAGCTATGGAGCGGGCTATGCTCGGGGTTTCTCTGCGTGATAAACTTAGAAATGAGTATATCCGCAGTAGAACCAGAGTAACCGACATAGCCCAACGGATTAGTAAGCTAAAGTAGCAGTGGGCCGGCTATATAGCTCGAAGAACTGACAACCGATGGGGAAGAAAGGTTCTTGAGTGGCAGCATCGTACCGGTAGGCGAAGTGTAGGGCGCCCCCCACGAGATGGGGTGACGACCTGGTAAGACATGCAGGAAATCGATGGATGCAGGTGGCTCAGGATTGTGCTTTGTGGCATTCCTTGGGGGTGGCCTATGTTCAGCAGTGGACTTATGAAAGGCTGTAATGATGATGATGATGATGATAATGACGTTCACTAGAATTTTACGTGGATGCCGTACAACCTCACCGATGCTCAGAAGCAGGTCTGCGTAGAATTGTGCCGTAATTCGTAACAAAATGAAGTAGTAGAGAAGCGCAGGAAATAATTTGATATCTAGTTTTGTTTGTTTTTTTTACTTTGGCGGATAACTGATATGACAACAAAATGAAATAAAATAATATATTTATTTCTTCGACGTAAGAAAAAATTATTTTTTTCAAATATCCAACCTTTTTTTTACTAAATTATATCCTTTACGAAAGTGAATAATCATAAATGTGGTACCAAATGCTTGTCAGATGTGCCTACTGTTGAGAGCAACAAGCGACCAATCAGCTTTATTATAGAATAAGGGTGGCTTTCTGACACCACTTGATCACACACTTTGGTCCACTTGATTGCAAATACATGTTTTCCATAGACACCTAT